CGTCTTGACTCCACTTGGCCTGCTTGTTGGTGGCGTTCTTCCAGAAGTGCCTTCCGCCGAAGACGACCCTCTGAGGATTGTTGGCTCGTCAGCCAAACTCTCTTCTGCTTCCGGCCTGCTGTCCGGTTCAACGCGCCGTTCAGTTGGCCTTCCTTCCGCTTGTCGACCTTCAGTCATCCGACTCGCAGCCGGCCGGCTGTCAGTCCGTCCATCTCCTCCCGAAGGCCGTGGTGCCTTCTGTGCAGAGGTTTCTGCCGTCTTCCCTAGGATCTGAGCGATTATCTCTTCCTGTGTGAGATTCCGCCGGGTCGGAGTTCGCCTGGTCTCCTCAGTAACAGTTGGCATTTTGCGTGCCCTCTGTTTTGGTCGACTGTGAGGCTCGGGGGTGGGCCGACCACGAGTCGGCGCAGCTGGTACTTCCGGCTGCCTGTCCTCAGGTCTCTCATCCCACTTCCGCTTTCGCGGAATGCGCTCACTTCGACGTTCTTCTGCTGCTCTTGCTGGAGCCGGAGCCGGAGGCGTACTGGCAGGTTCCTCGTCCGGATCCGTGTCTACTTCGGCCTCCCTCGAATATCTACCTGGATAAGTCCGGGTCAGCTGCGGAAACCGAGTTTTCTCAGCATTCGTCAAACATCCCATCGCCCGGTAAAACACGATTAAGTAAGGCGATAGATGATTGAGGGTTCCTCCCCTCTCTTCTTGCGCATGTTGGCGCGTCACCTTCCACAGGAGCCGTGCCCAATGCACCGGAGCCCCTGACAACACTAGCTCCACAAACTCTACTTGCCAACCATGCATGTAAGCAGTCTTGGTCGGCTGCAATATCTGCAGCAATGCCGTCGCGACATTTCTCCGCAATCGATCCTTGTAATCCCGTGTCCGGAAACCGTTCTTGGGATGTCTAGCCACCTTGAAGAGCTCATTGTAAGAGACTTCTTCCTCCTGGGACACCTTCACGCTGTCGGCCTCGAAGAGGAGATCCCCTTCCTCGCCGGCACACCTGCCCAACACCTGCGCCCAATTGCAAATGTCCCATCTCTCTGGGTGTGGGCGAAATCCGCGAGAAGGCTTGTGTCTCTCTTGCAGATACTCGCGCACCATCTCAGGACATGTCCAATTCCACCCCCATAGGAGAAAATCGAGCTTCAGCCTCAACAGCACATCTTGAAATGCGCGTAGACCGATCTGCGGCACCCTGAGTGGAGACACTCGCAGCTGGGGAACCTTCGACATTGCGTTGCCTGCACACACAAACGTTCTCCCTTTCGCTCGCTCTCTCACACTCGCGACTGCGCGTCGGCCACTCAAGCACTGACTGCTCACTCTCTCTGCGCTCGTTCAAGATCGCTACTCCCAATTCTTTCAAGGTCCGCCAAGATCCTTGCGCAACTCGTCTCCGCACTCTCTACTCTCACTGCAGGTCGCTCCGCCCTTGCGCGTAATCTTGGAACTGGAAATCGCAAAGCCAAGAATGAGAGAATGAGACTGGAGTGCAGTCTTTTCTTCTCCGATTTCAAGAACGTCCAACGTTCTTACTGGTTGCAACGTACGCAGCCGGCTATACGGCTTAACGGTTCGCCCTTTGCATGCGTGAATTCACGTCTCCGCATTGCGCGCATTCGCATGCTTAAACGTTGAATTCTCCCGCCGCCGCCACCTTCCAGACTCGAGTCCGCTGCAGGGTATACGTCGGCCCTGTTGTCTTTTCCTAACCCGCCCTTCTCCGGAGGCGTGTCGCCGCTGGTGCGTTCATTTTCCGTCGGCGCCTTGCTGGAGGCGCACATCCAGTCGGATCGAATTACGCCGGCGCGCAGTCGTACCGCCTATTTTGTCCTTTATGCCTCGTCCGTTGCTGCCGGCGCATATCCGCCAGCGCAACTCATGCCAGCGCATCCGGCCGTCAGCGCCACGTCGGAGGCGTACATCCGACCGGCGCTTTCCTTCCATGAACAGCCGTCAAAGGCGCTTCCGACTCTGAGTTGGTTTCCTCCTATGAGCGCGTGATTCCGCCGAAGGCGCATCGCCGAGGGCGTACGGGAATCCTTTCCGGCTGTGAACCCTAGCGCGAACGGCGCATGTCCGGCTACGAGTTTTCCGACGCTCATAACTTCTCCATTCCTGATCCATCTCCGACGCTCTTGGACTCGTTAGAACGAGCGTCCCGAGTTCTTTCTAACGCAACTGCAACCAACTGGATCTACCGTGTATCCCGATTGTTATGAAGGTTTTCCCTTTCCGCGCTAGCGGCGCTTCGTCGAAGGCGCACTCATGGTCGGATGCCTTTAGAGGTCCGGGCCCTTCTCCTGACGTCTTTAGCAAAACCTCCTCCTGAGGTGTCTGCGCCGGAAGCGTAGCTTCCTTATACGCTAGAGGCGCGTGAGTAGAGACACCTCAAAAAGGAGCTTTTGCCGAAGGCGCCGAAGACGTTGGCGTTGGTACATCCGACTACGTGACTCTTTGTGCCCTCGTGACGATCTCATCAATCCACTCTATTTAGCGTACACTTCTCTAGCTACAAACACTGCTTTGGTACTAGTTTTCTAAAATTGTTTAAATTCTGCAAAAAAAACAAAAAGTGTGTTACCACAATCAGTCATACATCCCACAGACAACAAATTTCTCTAAACATCAAGCACGTAAAAAACATCAGACTCCTTCTGATTTAATGTAAGTGATCATTTTTCACAAATCGGAATAACTTGATTGCTTGCAGGCTGACCATATTTCAGCTTGATCTTCGATATTAGAAAGAATGTAACTATTTTCAATTAAATGTGATGAGGTCCCACTATCAAAAAAGCATGACTATTTTTTTCTACTTGACTAAAAAATGTAGAGAGTACATTTGCTGCATCGTTGGCTACTGTTTTGTCTACAACACGAGCAACGTCATTATCAAAGAATTCAGCATTAGCTTCCTCAAAAGCAACCTTGCGATGATCATCATGACCGTCAAGATAACACTCCATGTTGTTTGCCTCGACTGCTTGGAGTTCTTGAGAGTGTTGTAGGATATTATAAGCACTTTGAGCTCCGTCTGAAGATGGTGCTGACGGCATTCATACGACCAATGTGCCATTTCTCCGCACTAATTGCAGCTGCCGGGTTTCAAGCTCGAAGAAGCAGATTGTGATGGATTATTTCTATTGATGTTGTAAGATTTTTCCTAAGAAGGCCAAGGGGTATTACGAGAATTAGCGTATCTCTGAGGAGATAATTTTGTTAATAATCACGAGAGTTATGGCAGTTATGAAACTCGTTGTGATCTCGGTTGCTCGAATTTATTTTGTCAGATTTGTGGTGATCACGATCATTGCTGGATTGTTGAAATGAAATATATCTTCTCCTATATGTATAAAACTGCTGCTTGTCTTGTCTACTGCGCTGGGTGCTGGTAATAAGAGACTTTGTTGATACCTCTGTTCAGTTAGATCGGTTAGATCTGACGTCTCATGTCATTTTTTCATCAATGAAAAGTGTAAAAAAATGTAAAAGCATGTAAGTATTATGAACAATACTAGCTTTAATGTAAGAATCAAATACTCACCAACTTGTAGGCAAACTCATGAGCATGAGAGTTATAAGTCCTCAATTTTTTAGTGTGTCATTGCAGTTTGATAGTTGATTAATGAGATTTCTCACTGCACGCATGTGAATTTGGATAGATTGACACTTCCTCATATAGAGATTGTGTAGTTTTTGACCCAAAAGTTGGCATCGATGCTCACTCGCATATGCAAATAATGTCTCTAATTCTTTCCACATCATGTGAGTATCATGGCACAGATGTGATGAACAATGTGCTCACGCACTTTCATCATAATGTAATAAACAACGTCATCACGTAGTTCAAGAATGATGTCGATTTTTTCAAAAACTTCTTAGTTAGGTGCCTCTTGTTCATGCTCGGCGTAATTGCATTTTACCGCGCATGATCAATCAATCCTTTGGGAACCTCAAGGGCAGGTAATAATGTCTCTAATTCTTTCCACATCATGTGAGTATCATGGCACAGATGTGATGAACAATGTGCTCACGCACTTTCATCATAATGTAATAAACAACGTCATCACGTAGTTCAAGAATGTTTTCGATTTTCTCAAAAACTTCTTAGTTAGGTGCCTCTTATTCTTGCTCGGCGTAATTGCATTTTACCGTGCGTGATCAATCAATCCTTCGGGAACCTCAAGGGCAGGTAATAACTTCGATAAAACAATGTCGCATCGCACAACCCTCAATGAGGGTTGTGCGATGTAGTTACCGATACCGTCCGGGTTCTGTGTTGGGTCCGATGTCCTTTGGAAAATCCATGGTTACCAACAGGAGAGAATAAAAAATGCAAATATTGAGCCACCCTATTGAAGTCCAGTTAAGGCATTCGCAATCTTAACTGGACATCAAAGAGAACACTTGAGCTCTGCTACCATGTTGGAATAGCTGCGTCCACTACTTTGGACATTGATTCAGTTGTAAGTCTTTGTTAATATTAGCACTCTAAAAGTATCTTTAGATCTAACTTATTCTAACACATATAAAGAATTCTCGTGGACCCAAAAGTCGTTCCAAAGTACAAGAGAGCCGAGGTCGATCTGCGATTGTGGTATGTGGACAAGCGGCCTGCTTGGCGTGGCAATCGAAACTTGGACCTCATAGAAAATCGGGACCATCGTGACAGACTGTGCGCGATCATAATCGTTCGCAGGGCGAGCCCTGGGTATGCCACATCCTCATCTGGTGTGCCACCATCGAACCACCTGGAATTATACAACGAGCTAATGATTCAGATGAGAGCCCTCCCCACTCACCCCAACATCGTCGACTTGTATGATGTGTTCATAAATAAAGACTTTGTTGTAGTACTCAGACGATGCGAGGAGGGTCCCACTATCGAGGACTTCTTCCCACTCGCCAAAGACAGGACTGCGAGCAGGGTCTTCGGTCAGTTAGCAGACGCAATTCGCAACATGCATAGTATCGGTGTGGTGCACATAAACTTGCACTGCGATAATACAGTCTTCGATGCCTCGGACTCTGAATTTCTCCATCCCAGACTCATTGATTATAAAACGCTTTTTGGATTCAACATCTGGCGACCTCCGATGCCAACAACTTCGACCCGACTTGTTACATCAGCCCTGAACTCCGCCTAATGGCTTCTGAGGCCAACGCCAGACCTGACCAATGTCAGAGATCTGGGCTTAATTTTGTTCTCAATGATGCGTGGAAGTTGGCAATCTCTCGAGACGATTAGAGCACACACCGTAGATACTCACACGCTCCGCCGAGGGCTGTTCAGCGGAGATGCTATTGATCTGCTTGAACGTATCGGTCCCTATCCCTACGGACCAGATACTTGGATGGAGACCTTGACAATTGAAGACGTGTGTAGGCATCCGTGGGTGGGGCTAGAAGCTACACCCATAGTGTGACACGGCGATAAAATATGAATGAAGCTGTCAAAAATGGTAATGTCGAGAAAACACGGCTTATTGCCATGACCCAAAGCTCACAACTCTCGTTGGGACGAGTCTTCTTCTCCCAGAGCTTTCCACAGGGCAGGGTCGTCGAAACTCTCGATCACAAAGCTTGCCCCTGCCTCCAGCAGGCTGGCACGGGGGTTCCCTGCAAGTATTCCCACGACTGCCAACTCGGCAGCAACAGCTGCTTTTATTCCCGCAGGTGAGTCCTGCAGCCATAACAAATGCATTGGATCAGCACAGGTTTTATCTCACTGGACCCCGAGGAGGACATCGTCATCGTCGCGAGGATTAACCTGGTAATATGACTCTCCCAACGACAACGACGTCGGCCTTCATCGCCAATGCGCTACTTCTATTTCAGCAGGTAAGAGGTTCCTAACCCAAAAACCACGAAATGTGACATCTTTTGAGGCCTCTGACCGTTTCTCGTCATTTCGAAGTTTGATAGTTCTGACAAAGACTCGACGAGCTACACGACGTGGGTAAGAGTAACATCGAAGTCGGAGACGGGGTCGATGTCCATCGCCGTTTTCTCCATCACATCACGTATCTTTGATGGTAAGCAGATGGATGTAATTGCGGCCCAAGGTGCCCACACTGTCCCTATTCTTTACATCAGGAAACTACAGCCGCTTCAACAGTCATGGGACTTAAGTACCTAGGCAAAGTTGAGTGGCATAGAGGGAAAGTTCTTCAAAATTGTAAGGTCGAATCGAGGCACTCAGATGCCGACCAGTGGTTTAGGAAACTCCGCAGATCGTCATATTTCAAAGTTCGAGCTAATATCGGGCGCAGGGCTAGAGTTGGTCTAAAGGACTCATGCGGTTCTGGGTAAGAGAACTTCTTTCCCCCAGAAATCCAGGACACCAGAGAACCGTCAGGAGGGCACCAACCCCTCCGCCCAACTCCTGTTAGTGCCTACCCCAGAACTAAACACCCCGTAACCTGCTTAGAAGGCTATGAAAAAATAATCTATGAGGGTTTTTTTCTTTTATAAGTCTAGGGAATGTCGAGCATTGGGCTCAGCAAAGCATTCAGTTGTACCCAATAATCTGAGTATGGAGCTTAGACTTGTTAACCAGCGTATATTGGGATGAATTTGCAGGAGGATGACCAAGCAGAGAGGAAAAGAGAGAGCTGGCTCTAGAGAGAAGTGGTTTGCACAATAATCTAAACAAGCAAGGTTTGGTGTGTCACTGGATCCGTTAGCGATCGAGTGTAACACGTAGCACCGTAAACCAAAATCCCCCAACACGGTATAATATATGCCAAACTTTCGAAGAATGCAAGATCCATCACTAGAGGGGTTTCACGCAATCATCAACTGTGTAAAAGTGGGCAACAGAGAAATAATTACCTCGAAAACAAAAGCTTGATCAGCTGGAAGTCCAAGAGCAGTAAGTCCCGTCAAATAGGGATCTGGAAAGGGCTTTGCTCGAGTACATTCGCTACCAATGACCAGGTGTTCAAAGAAATCACCCAGACCAATACCCGCAATCATCTGCTCAGCATTTAGTCGAGGTGCATTTGTCACAGCTGCTCTTCTTATATTCTTCTTCTTCAGCCATTCACAAAACTTGTGTAGTCCCTTGTGAGCTTCCAACTGATTGGCAGCCATCCTGTCAGTGTATAGATTCACGAAGTACAATCTTTAGTATAAATCGTAGATGTCAAAACCATATGACATGATGACAGTGATGGCTCTGCCATCACAGTGTCATCTCGAATCTGGAGGCGACGCAGAAAAGTGACCAAAATCCTACAGCCTGAAACCAGCTTAACTCATAGATATAAGAATGCCTCAAGTTCTGATGGGATCCAAGTCATTTCATAGTCGCCTCAAAGTGGTGGAATGTTTATGCATGTAAAGAGCAGGCCCCAAAACGTCGAATATGTACTTTGAATACCTTCTGAAATAAGCTTCCTTGTCTTCCGTAAATTTAGTTTGAGCGGCCACTTCCCACTCGGGGAAGAGAAAACGTCCTATATCAGGATTGAACCTGCCACTGATGTATTTTACGAAGAACTCCTCAGTAATCGGTACTCCTCCATTGTATCCAATCTGCACATGATCTGCTTAATGAGTTGGCTCCTCTGCTATATGCAGGTTATATGTTATATAACCTGCATCAAGGTTATATAACATATAATATCTATTACTAACCTGCAATACCTATACTCCCACAAAAGCCATCGGAATACAAACCTCCTGAAGCATGTCACGGAAGGCCGCATAATGCAGCGGATCTGAATCACAAAGAGTGCCGTCTACGTCGAACAGAACAGCCTTAAGAGATCCTAGCGGTGGTATAGAGCGAGGTATGATTTCTGCAGGAAAACGAGTAAAATATTAGAAGAAAACTCAAGTCGAAAACATCCTTCAATCCTAGATCTAGAGTACGGAGGCTACAAAGCACATTAAACCTAAGCGTCCTTTTGCCTCAATGAATGGTTTTCGAATTTATATGAAAGGAACAAAGACTCATACAGGTCAAGGTCTGAGGAGGAAACTCGAAAACTATGACCCACATGACATACTGCTCATCTGGATAGAGTGAAGCAACTCTTCTAGGAGCTCGATCTCAGGATTCATACCTGGCATTTTCGCAGACAAGGTTTGAAAGGATGCAGAGGCAGAACAAATTGACGTGGGCACTTCGACTCGCAAAGTTTTTGAGAATTTTCCTGAGCAACTTCGTCTCAAAATTTCTGCTTCCCCTGCAGGAAGCAAAGCCACAGGATACCGTGCCTGCAACAATCACAGTTGAATCGTTCAAAATCATTCCTTATTCTGCAACCCCTGAGCGGGACTGCAGGAGGTGCGTCTCATATAAAACCAGTAAAATAACAAATGTCGCTTTCAACACTCAGAAAGCCAATTCTTCACACGTCATCTTGACTATCCTCCCCAGCAGAACTTTTTTTTGAGCAATGGGACAAACTCAAAGCAAGCTCAATGCGCACGAGAGTACGTTAACAACCACAATGTAAACAGAGTGCGTGGCCCAAGATTCCTGATTCGTACCCTCGCTATTCAGAATTCCAGGCATCTACAGAACAATTTTTACTCTGTGACGAACTGATCTCTGATGCATTTTTTGAATCCCGCATTCTCCGAGTACGAAACGATTTCATCTCGAAATCCAAATCCAAACGACAACCAGAAGGCGTACGGAAAGAACACGGCCAGAAATTCCAACGATCGCACGCCCTAAGGAATCCTGTCCCTGACCGGATGAAATTACTCACTTGCAGCATAAAGTCCGGTGGACGAGCGAGGTTGCGCTGCAGCACCCTCTGGAGCGGGCGAGGGAAATCGCCAGTCGACAAGGAGGGGAGTGGTGTTGAGGATGGGCCATATGGAGGCCCCCAAAAGCGACGCAGATGCTGTTCTGGGCGTTGCAAGTGGGCCCGAGGAGTTCGGCATCGGAAGCTTGCGGTAACGGAGACGCAAGAGCCTCGGACATGGCAGAAGCCCGACCGACCACGTCATGGGATCTAAAAATATTCAGCATCCACACACTCCGAGATGCGCCCTCGGAAGGCCTCGAACGCCGTGCCCCCTTGCGTGCATGCATGAACTCTCTCTCCCTCTCTCTACTCTCTCTTGCGACAGCGACGGCCGCATTCTTCCTCTCTCGTCGGGTTTCTCAGATGAGCCGCCCTGCGATACAAACTCTGTCGGCTCCAGATTTAGACCCAGTCTGAACTTGGTCCATCGTATCAGCTCGTGTGGAGTAGCAATCCGTGCCATGACAATCTAATTACGGAAAGGACTATTCGATCGTCTGAAGGAACAAAGCTATTCAATTCTTGACAGTGTTCTATTGCATCTTCGATCTACAGACAGCTTTGGGGTACCCTCAGTCCATATTCTGTTTCTCCTGCAGTGTTCGAGGGAAAAGCAAGACCGAATCGATCATGGCGTGATATAAGGTATCCTTCCATCGAGGTCTCCATGATTCCATTGGTACGTCGACGTTGTCACGAGGCTCAAGTTGTGATGTAATGGTGAATGTTTTACTCCTTGGCTGCTTGATATTAATCGGCAGAGGATGTAGGATTGCGCTGTTCCACGATTAGTGGAAAGATATCTCCAGTTTCTAAGGTAATAATCTCCTTCTAATTCTTTGTCGTAACGAAATATCATGGTAGGACATAAAGCATATGAAACTAAAACTCCATGGGTATCGCATTTCACATCGTATAACCGACCATTCCGATACACTAAATTCAATCACAAACGAACCAGTGATACAAAGTCCATGCTAAACAACACATAGGTACAGCATAATAAAAATTAGACAGTGGCAAAGTCATTGATTTATGCTGCTTGTACTAATTCGAAGAAACTCTTCCAAATTCTGTGAGAAATACAAAATCAATTGACATGATCATATTATTTTCTTTAACTAATATCTTGTTTGTAAACATTTTCAGTAATCCTCAGTATATTTAAGAATTTTTCTATAATATTTTTAAAATTTGTTTCAAAATATTATTGTAGGCCAAAACTGTGAAAAAAACTCTTGCAAAAAGACAATAAACCAATTTAAAGATAAACGATTTTTTTTAAAATAACTAGAAGTTATATTGAATTCGGAAATTACATATTATTTATAAAAAAATTTCAACAAACTTGACAGATTTTCTTACTTTGTCTCAAATATATAAATATGACTTTGTCTCAAATATATAAATAGTACCCTACACTGAATAATAAAAGTTTGCCTCTTTCAATTTTGCGAAAAAATATATCAAATTGGTATAATATTTTCTTAATATCTAGTTTATTTTCTTATGTATATTATATAGTTTTCAATATTTCAGATTGATTATTAGTGCACATTCTTTAATGATTATAGGAAAACATGATTTTTAGTATACAAGATATTCTTTTATAAGATGATATACAGGCTGTTGTACAAAAAATTTAGGAAAACATTATGATTTTTGATCAAGGTTCAAAAGATTTAAACTATTAGGCAAAGATATAAAATTATGAAATGGATTAGCTAAATATATTAAAATACTTAAAATACTATTAATTGATAAATCTTTATAGATTCAAATACAAATAGAAATTATGTAATAAAAAATAATCTAATTAAATGTAAAAAATGAAATATCTAATTTTGATAATTTTATTAAGCACTAAATCTTTTATATTTATAATCTTCGGAATTTAGTCATATCAGCGACATTCAGTCATTTAACAAAGCTTCCTTCATATTAGAGAGTAGATTTGGGGTACTATATGTACTGAAAGTAATTTTATGGCGGGCTCGGAGATAAAACAGTCAAGCAAGTTGAAGAGAATCAAACGCACCGAAAAGCAAAATAGAGAATAGAAGCTTTTTTCCAATAGTGACATAATATTTTAAGTCATCTATTTTTGGAATATAATTTACGTACAGCATCAATTGCGTCCCAGAAAAATTCACAAAATGTATATCTTTTATAAGTTTTTTAGGGTTTAGGGTTAGAATTTAGATCCTAATATCAAACCCTAAAACATTAATATAGGAATATTGATGCAAGCTATTTAATACCCACTTTGCAATCTGGACATCATAATTTTAGTTTAATATGAAACAATTTTTATTGCTATAAAATAGAAAATTGTTGATAGTTTGAATTTAAATTAGAATTTTTGATAATTTGAAATAATATGCTGTATTTTAATTACTTTGCATTTCTATTTTATTATATTTAGTTCTGCTGTGAGCCAAAAAATTTGTGTTATTTTGAATAATGTTTAAAACTATGTTGTTCAGGAAGATATTACCATTTATTAACGGTTGATATGTGATAAAATTAATTCTAAGATGTGACATCAAATGCATTATGCATGTATTTAGAGTGTTTTAAAAACTTAAACAAAGTTAAACTTTGATGAATTTGACAAATAATGCTCAATCTGATTAAAAATTCGAATTATTAGAATCTTGTGAAATAAACATCTGAACTTATTTCATATGATAAGTTGATCTTAGTATTATGAATTCAATGGCTAAATTAGTTAATTAGATGTGTTGAAGAAAACATTGTTGATAAAAATTATTAGTGAATCTGCATCATACATCAAAATCATTTCTCAATCATTTGAGAAATGATTGAGAAATTTGTGACTGTGTATGGAAACAATAAATGTGCATGGCAGTATTGTTAATCTAGATTTTTAACTTGATATTACTAAGAATTGTCATGCCATTTTAAGGAAGTGGCAATTTCTAGATAATATGATGTTCAATCAACGGTTTCAAACTATTTTGAATTATTGTCTTATCAGTACTTTGCATGCAATGCGCAACCAGAAAGCATTTTTTCCTCTAATTTTATCACACTTGAACTTGTAATATAAAAACAGAATTCCAACTTTATTGTGAGGGAGTTATTTCCTTACAAACAGTCAATGTAATTGTCATGACACACAACAAATTGAAACAAAGCCTAGCCCTCGTGTACTTTTCTCAGTGCACAAAGATAATAGGTTATACTCATGTCATTGTGTAATGAGAAAACTACACATGTCGTAGCTGAAGCTAAGATTTATGAATGTAGAATAAATGCATATGCAGAGATTTTCTAATTTAGGCGTAAGCAGATATTTGTGACTGATATCATGCAGATTATAACATACGTAACCTACGGATTTCCATCCTGCTTAACGCTTTCAATTTTGCAATCGCTGATTGAAGTAATAATCTAATCTCCACGGTGAAACACCATACCATTCGTGCTACTGTCTCAATCATCGGACAGAGATCAGACGTACTCGAGTCTTTACCATCCACCGCATCACATGTATCCATCCTCTCCACACTTATCTCATAATGAGAATTTTGAAGGTCATTTTCATATCCTTTTCATATATAGTGAACATGAAACTTTAACCCGTAATATCGTTCTATATGCGGCCTTGCGGACCAGGTCGACTTCAAATGTGCCAACTTGACAAGAAACATGTCAAGGGACGATAATTTTGGAAAAACTTTGGACAGAATCTGATTTCATACTACATTTTTTACATTTGTCCCACACAAATTGCGGAGTGGGTTGTTTTTTGGTTTTTTTGCCGTCCCAAAGGACTGTAAACTGATCTGTAAACTGCTCTACTCCTAGCCCAGAATTAGTTCTACGTCAGTGTTCCTAGTATCATCGAAGATCTTGGACCCAGGAGCTAAGTTTGGAGATTGCGTCGAATGACATATGTATAGTATATTACAGCACGGAGCATGCCCCCGGTGTACGAGTTGTACGAGGCCAGCAGCATGTCCGTAAAGGCATCGGGGAAAATTGATGAGCCTCCTCATTTACTTGCTGAGGCCTAAGTTGTGGAGGATTTTGCCGTTGATGTCAAAAAAGTTGATGATTACGGAGGTAGGAGAAGCTGACAGAGAGATGAACCCCTGGCCATCGTAGTATAGCTTCACGTCGGGAAGTTGCTGCACGCCTGGTAGAAACTCATTCTTCCAGGCCTTGGATCCGCCTCCGCTCGTGACGAAGTGCACGTCACTGCAGTTCCAGTTCGAAATCACTGGCGTTAGTACTTGATATTGCCACCATGTTTCTATCTATGGGCTGGATTCCGAGTATGCTCTATTTTATGAAAGTGCATCAGAATCTTCAAACAAACTTATTTCAGTGACCAATTGTGCTGATGTGCAACCGAGACCCAGCGCGAAGGAGGTCGGGATCTCTTTGACTGGTCATATTACACCTATTGACCCCAAAGCCTTTCAGAAAATCCGAAGTGCTTTCACCGTGGACTACCGGTGAATCCGAAGTGCACTGGTTGAGAGGGAGCTTGAACTCTGTTTCTCTCTTTCCGGTTGAATGTGTGTAGAGAGAGTCATGCAAATAATGCAACAGGCCTCGCGGCTCTTCAGCATTTGAGCGATCAATTAATTACCTGTCTATGCGTTTGATGTGCTCCAGACAGTGGTCGTGTCCGTTGATGTACAAATCCACCTTGTTTGCCTGCATAAGATGAAGAAAATTACGGGAACTTAGCGATGATGGTTCTCAACATGCAGTCTCTGGTATGTCCGTGGTGAGTGCAAGTCATACTGTGTCTCGGATCGAGAAATTGCTTCGGCTCAATGACTTCGAATAGCGACACGCTGCAGAAGATTAACTGAGTTGCATGCATTCGAGTGAATGCTGCCTGTCTCTGTCATGGATCGTGCCGGGCCAGTACGTGAAAAGCTGAAATGGATTACAAGTCGGCGGTGCTGAGAGGGCAAAGAAGCTTACCTCAAGGATAGGCAAAACCTTCTCAATGATTTCTGGCGTGTTTCTGTGAGGTCCATAGCTGTACATGGTGTGGTGGCCTACGACAATCTTCCAAGTGGCAGGTGATTTCTCCAGAGCAGAGCTCAAATTCTGCAAATTCAAGCAATCCAGAGTGGCTCAAATCAGTACCTTCCGCATCCGATGGGTTTGCTCTTGATATCCTCTGCAGATCCCGCGCGGAGACTGCAGCCGCTTCATAAATCTGGTCTGAGTAAGTTTGTGATGTCGATGATATTCCAACGTCGACAAATCCTTACCTCTAGTGTTGAGGCCATGACTTCCTCTCTCGGAGTTGGCCTCGCCCATTTGTAATGCTCGCTGTCTGGGGTCCAGTATTCTTCGACGAATGGGTTTGTGTCGATCATGAAGAACTCCACTGCAGAGCAGCCGATGGCCATAATCACTTTGTGTACGAGTTTTTCAAGTGAAATCACACATTTACATCTGACCTACAGAGAGAAGGATGAACAGGCCGTGGTCCTCTGTCCGGGAGGCACTGTACCATAAAGTAAACTACCAAACTCGCTCAAGTACTTTGTGTGCACCAGTCACGCCTGGGGTTAATGAGAAAAGGAAAACCGCCTCGCATTCCAAAATAGCGAGCATCCTACGCGAATCATGAATATCCGGTCTATAAAACTCACGCAAGCCTATCTTACCCGTGGATGATGGACTAACGCTGTAAGGAATCGTGTAAAAGTAGTCGCACCACCATCTGGGATCCCTTTTGTTCAAGCTTTTGTCCACTTGTGCTTCTTCGTTGCCCCTGTAGTCGTGATTTCCTAGAACTGCAAGCAGAAGGCACGAGCACCATCAACTTCACCGTACTTTCGGTTAGAAACAAGTGTAATTACAGCTGTACTACAAACCGAAGGCTATGTTATCAATCTCAGAGAGAGAGAGAGTGTGGAAATTGGTTAATCGTTCTGGTCCCGCTCTGTTTTGTGAACGGGAAGCCTCAAACGGACAAACTACACGTACATGTGAACTGCAGTTATGAGGACAGAGTCTGTTCATACAATTTCTGCCGCTGGGAAAGTTGCCAGAGCTGGAATCCAGATGGGAAGTTAATCTTGCTTACCTGCATACCACCTCTTCTGCAGGCTCTTTTCGTGGTAGACGTCGGTAAAAGACTCTTCAAAGGATTTATCGTTCACGCTTTTCAGGCCAGAGTCGTAGAAATTGTCTCCTGTGGATAGGATAAAATCTGCTTGCAGTTCTTTCCCGACTCTGCTCATCTGCGTGGTTCATGGCCGAAGGCAAACAGTTATTTGACTAATTCCCCGCAACGAACTTCTGACTCTCCGTCACACTCATTGCATCTTTTCCGCATGTCCGAAATCGGACACACGACTAGACCCTGATGAGATTTTGTGCTTCGAATTTATGAATGCCGAGATTCCTGGGCTCTTCAATACTGTGAAGAAGAAAAATCAAGAGAAGAGTACCTGTCTGGCAACTTGAGATTGATTGTAGAGGCCTTTGCGGCCCCAGTCGCCTACGATCAGCACGTTCAGGGGCAGCCTTTGGACGCTGAGTGCATCGAGAGGCTGATCGTCGCCGAATGTGAGGTTACCGTTGTCGATGCTGATGCTGTCTTCGTGCAGGAATGCAAATATGATCCCGAGAATGAGGCAAAAGAAGACGAGCGTGAGTGCTGCCTTGCGCCATGTGGTCTTCGTCGCAGAAGGAAAATGATGGTGCGATTTGACCTGAAGAAACAATCCCACGCGAGCTCGTCTGTATGAAATTGAGACTCTGGTTTGGTTCCTTGGATTCGGTTTTATGCCAAGAACCGATTTCTCATACTTATCGTGAGAGGAGCTGCCAATTTACTCTGAGCTAAGAAGGGTTGGGTTGCTGAAATTGAGGCTGAAATTGGGTTGCAGATTCTAGAAAGCGCAAATTGATCTGCGCTCGAAAAGTGTTCCGAACCCTTCCATGCTCATCTTGACATTTGGTCGAATTTACCACATAACTTCTTAAATGAAACAGCCGAGCGCACCCTCGGAAATCAGAGGATCCATTCATGTCGCAAACACTTGCAATCATGCACGCAGACATTCACTCTTCATTTCTATCTGGCTTGCAAGAAACAAGGTTCAGGGATATCACAATCCTTCGTATCTTCCCGCCGCAGGAATGCAAGTAGTACTGTCAAGTCACAACTGCTCTAGAAATTTGATTCTTATTCACTAATTTCTGTCAGCTGGCCTCGTCTGTCAAAAAATTATGTGAATCGGAGAGAGCTCTTCGTACCTCCTCCGTCAGAAGTCCAATCTCCGCATCTCGGTGGCGCTCAGAAGTCTCCATGTGGCCCAGAAATTTATCCAGCTAAAGAATTGCGATTCCCAGCTAGTCGGTGTGACTCAGCCTCTGCAAGAACAAGATTCATAGTCAGTCCCCGTGGACCTCGATGTCACCGAATCCCACTAGGCCCCTTCTAACAATTCGAAGCTCAACGAGCTCCGTCCTCCTCCTCGAGAATAGTACAGCCCTGGATAAAGACGTCGAGGCAGGCAGTCCGACAACGGAAACGAAGAACAAGAACCAGAACAGAAAGTTCAGTGCTCGCTCGGACTCATGCGCGCATTTATGGCACAAAGGCTTCCCCACTACGACACACGGACGATATAAATTTGCGTTCCTATGCCACAGCGTCGTGACTGCGCCAAGTCAGAAATAGCGGCAACAACAGAAGTCCCCTTCCCCAAGTCACATCCCGATTCCTGCACCGAGCTCTGATTTTGCAAGATCGCAACGGAACACGTGAGCTCCTGGAGCTGCTCGGTGGGTCGACTGAAGGCCTTCTTTCCACGTGAAATCGTACGCGAATGGAGGTGGGGCACGGTGACACGGGCCACCACCCAGCCATCGAAGCACACGACATCTGATGCCCGGCCATACAGATGGACGGACCCATAACGAACTCGCCAGGGCCCGAGACGAGACCGAGTCGTCACGACAAAGGATTTCAAAGTCTTGGACAGCGCGGTGTGCCACTTACTGAGTTTGTGATATCTTCGTAACGTCGGTGCCACTTAAAAAAATGTTACCCCACTGGTTTCAGAAGGATAACTTCGATGCTCCGGGTGCACTTTCTCGGTGAGAGTGCCATCAGATATTAGTGGAGATTCCATGCACTGACGTTATTGCCCGACCCTGTGGAGTGCTCCCACGCCGGCGTTTGGCACTGCTCAATCTATGCGCCTGCCTGCCTGTCTATCTGTCTATCTGCCTGGTTTTCTGCACACGTCAATTTTCAGCTCTTGGCTCGGAGCTTGAAAAGAAATTAATTCCGAAACAGGGTTATCGACAGTGCGAGGATTGAATCATTGACGTCGCTTTTCGTCAGTGCTTCGTTCACTGCACCCATGCGATGAAGATCCACTGAATCAGGGACCCTCTCCTCTACTAGAAATTGGGCTTGGCACTAATTCTGTGATAGACTTGGAATGTTGATTGATCCAACAATTCCCGGAGTCGATCGCTGTGGATGAGATGATCTCGTCCAGCATGTAATGATTTCGAGGTACATAACTGGACTCTGAGCTTCAAGTGCGTTCAAGTGCTGTACCGTGCTCAGCAGCAGCAACGTACTTTCTCTCGGGACGCGACGACAGGTCGCCGATGGAATCACGTCCATCGTGACGTGATGTGGTAAAACGACCTCAGGACAGAGATGCGAAGGCAGCTATGAGGCCATCGAAGAACTTGACAGAGGATGTAATGCTAAGAATGCTACGATGCCAAGTGAACATAATGTCCCACGGCTCGTCACGACGTGGAACTTTTCATCGATCACCGAAGACTGTCGTCCTCAAGCCACACGGCTCAATGAGCTTCCACCATCGGGCATCAGATTTCACGGCCAGAGAGAAAGCGAGAATCTCAGGTCAGTGAGACGATCACCACTCCGAGTCTGGCCCACTTTGATTTCTTCACCATGCTGCGAATCTTCAAACTTTGAATCGAAGACAATACTACGTGACCAATGATGATACACTGGGCACCCACTCCCGTTCATGTACCACGCTAGTACCTGGTATGGACGAGGACTTCCTGCATCTCTCGCTCAACGCGTACCCACAAATCGAGAATCAAACATGACCTGACCCGACCTGCACTTGATGATGCCTTCGCCAGCAGGCAACCAGCTGACATGCTCATGTGAGCTGGTCTGCTGCTGCTGGGGAAGGCATCAGAGCTGATACGCGATCACTCGCACATGAGTTTCTCCCCGATGTTTGATGATCGATCACGCACAGGACTTGTCGGTGAATCTCAAGGTCCTCTAATTGATGCATAATCAGAAGTCTGGACCTACCTGGAGGTTACTAGATTATGAATCGAGTAGTAATCTGTTGGACTAGCCCGACAAGGTACACAATTTGTGCACAGCGATTACGCTCGTAGAGAGAGAGAGTGTGAGTTTGTGTGCTCCTCATTCCTCAAGCTTAAGAAATAAGAAAGCGACTTTCAGTCGATGAATGAAAATGAAAGCTCAGCGGCTCACATCAGAACAACGTGATGAGAGTGATGGCTACCAACTACACAGGAGACGGTAAACTGAATACATAGCAGAGAGGCGTGAGAGTAGAACAACATCAAAGACCGAGCATAAAAAAGAAGAAGCTCTCGTACTTGGAAAGGCGAGACCGCCTCTGCTGCACCACGGACTGCACCACAAACTTCGCGTACTGGAGACGAGAGAAGCTAAAACGAGCGAGCCGCACAAATGTGCACAAGCGTGCAATGCATCTGCTGCTGCTGCTACTGCTGCCGTTCTTCTTCTGCTTTTCTGCTACTGCCGAATAACAACGACGACAACTACACGCGATCCTTCCCTTCTAGCGAAAGCAAAACAATTCTGGGACCTCTCTGGTCAGAGACCCCGGGAACTGGCAGGGATGAAGCGCTGGGCTAATATATCCAGTCTCGGCAGCATTGCAGCTCGAAGGCTCGCTGCGAAAAATACGAGAGGCGCCCATTCGCAGCAACGAGGTGTGCCCCCACCGCAGCGTTTGAATTCGACCGTCCCCTGCCTGGAAGAAACGTGAAAATACAGTCCACAATGGATGATGCCTGATGCGCAGCCCCGCCCTCGTCCTGCCCCGCTTTGTTCTGCGAATAATCCAGCAGCATATGCGGCCACTATACTTTCGCTATGCCGGCAATGTTCGATGCAGTCGCCCTTCTCGCTTGCCGGGCCGGCGGCCTCTACCTACATTCATTCTCCTTCCCCTCTCCCTACCTCCCCGCACCGCGCGGTTCGTCGCCTGGTTTGCCGCAGGCGGTCAGGGGGCCGGGATGCTCCTTTCCCTGCAGTCCAATCCTTCACGCAGTTCCAGTTTCCTGCAGTTAGTTCTTCGAGTTTTATATTCGAAGATCGTTCCGAGGTTTTGTGTTCCTTGACGTATTAAATACTGATTTTCTCGAGCCGCTTTAAATATACTGCTGCTGATGGATGAATATGTATCCGCTGCGGACCGTCATCATTCATCATCATCGTTGCTGTTCCCAAATTCTATCTTACTCGGTGATTCTTTGAAATGCGTGGTAACATCGCATGGCGGGGACTTTGCTAGCCCGATATGCGAGAAGTAAGTTCATGGCTCATGTGACTCATATTGGCTGCCGCATTGGTCAACATGGCTCTTTGCCCATGCAGAGTGCGTCTATCAGCACTTGCTTGTCTTTAAATTCACGTTAGGGCTGTTGGATGGTCGTATGGAGTGGGCGTTAGTTCATCTTGTTTTTATGAGAGATATCTGTTATTTTAAAACACTAGTTTTAGATAACACATATATCTCCTGATGGAATAGTAATAGCTAAAATCTTCAATTATATTTGGAAGTATATATATATATATATATATCAGTATTGTAGATATCAATTAAAAAACGATAGAATTTTTTCTACAAAATTCTGTAGATTACTCGAAGTATTATATATCCATTATCATAAAATATTATGCAATCTATTCAATAACGATCAGTTCAGACGATGCTTTCTACATGTTCATATAGTATGCGTTCTAAACAAAACTTTTCAAAAGTGAATATATATGAGTTGCACAAGGATATATTGATGAATTTGGAGGTTAAACGAATCATTCAACTTTGGTTTCACACTTCGATGATTTATGTCTTTTTCCCAACCTTTTCACTATATTTCTCGGCTTCATTCTCTACTTCACTAATTTTCATTTCATATTTGGTCGTTATTGTGCCAATTAATGCAGCGCATAGATATGGAGCTTACAACGGTTTGGATGGATTAGCGTATTACTTGAGCATAAGAGAAATACTTATCACCTCATTCACTTCTGCTCAAGAACGAGATTTTCAATTGAGAGCTTCTCCTGAATTCTTTTAGTTTATGCTTGAGCCTGAAATATTTTATTTCAGCGTTCAAGCAGAGTTGATTAGATAGCATATTTCTTCAAAAGTGTTATGTCATTTCACTAGAAAACCCTGATCTACTCCTGATATTGCACACCACATCCATGTTCCAAATTTCATTCTTCAATCAAATATTCTTAATATATAGTAAACTACATCTATCTTTTCTGAGAATATAGTAAGTGTATCAGAATCATGTCTCTAATAATTATTAAAGATATAAAAATCATAGAAAAATCATTGATAAAGAATTCAATTCAATTCAAAGACTTGAGTTATCGAGATAAATTCTTGCAGGAAAACAACAATCGATTGGAACTCCAGAAATTCCCAGTGCTAAGTTGCAATAATTTTTCGTTCATAATGGACTTTCAGTGGAAACTTATCATATATTGGTGTCTTAGCCAAGTATCATGCATATCTAGTACGCCTCTGTTTATCCTATAGTCAAAGTCCGTCACAATCCATGTTGCGTAGCCACTTCGTCTACAATACGTATCCGACAAGTGTACAAATCCGAGAAGGTTAGAAAAACATCGACGACTTTTGAATCACACCTGATCTGTGGTTGAGAAAACCTGGCTACATAAATAATAAATTTGTTATCGCGGACATGGCCCACTCATATTGTCTCTCTCTTGTTAGTGGCAGATGGACAGACCATTCGACAATCCAAGGGTGACAACTTAGAACATTTCAATATTTTAAAATTAGAACAGGTAGAACAGGGTCTACCTTATTAGACATTCCTAGCTCAGAAGGAATTTCAGCACGCTCATGTGATACGTTTCTCATGAAGTAGTCCTCGATGCATGGAGCTCAACCTAAAGTTTCACTTGATTGTGCAACGTGTGCACGTTTGATGTGACTTAAGCTCTACTGTTGATCATGCTTGAAGCCGAAGATAGAGCAACTATCAAGCTTGCAGATATCCTTTCATAGTATAGAATTCTAAAGTGTCGTGTGATGTAGTACGCCCACTAGACTAGAATCAACTGCACAGAAGGCATCTAGATCTAGCCTTCTCCATCGTCTCCACATCCATGAGACAGTTGGTCGGGAAGTCCAAGCGGTCGAAGAGAATTGTGCCCTCGTCAGCTAGTTGATCGAGCAGCATACAACGGTGTCTTCATCATCTTAAGAAACGGCGTAACAATCGAATACGGATGATGGCATTCTGAAGAATCTCCGAGAGATAGATAGAGATGGAGATAAGCCACAACATGAGGGTTGACTTAAAGATGAGAGGAATAACCAGCGGATAGAAAGATGAACACAGGTCATTGACAGACACTTAACACCGCGTCTCATCGATCGATGTGGAAGTGTGCAAGTAGCATGACTTCCATTATACTATCAACCCAATTGTCATTCGTTCATCGAAACATCGACTCTAAACCAGGTATTGCATTGGGTAGCCTCTCAACGAAACAAATATATATCTACGCTTCATCAATATCTCTTCAGCTGGTCTGTCTTCACTTGCAATTTTAGGCTCTAACATCCTTGTAAATGCCCCTTGATGATAAAGTATAACTCTTTAATTATACGACTGATTAAAATCCAACGTATAATTCTTGCATGGGGTAAAAAAGGCTGCTTTAAAATTATATACAGTTGGAACTTGTATCAGAGCACAAGCATCTATCTTCGAAGACATCGACAGAATGGATGTAAGAAGGTTCTGTCGCAAACTCGTATTGTCAAAAAGCCAGCATCCCAATGCAGTGGCGCAGGAAAAGTAGGTCCACTGGAAGGCATGACGAGTTTCTCATAATCGTTCAATATCATCTAGGCAAACACACTGCACTTTCACATCCACATTGATCCCAGTCGTCATCTACATATTACCACGCTGTAAAGAAGAACCTGTACACACAAATGTTGCCGGCTCATCAAGTCTGACGATATAATCCTGAATCTGTAGCATGACTACGGTGCACGAGACATGCATTTCATCCGAGACAACAAGCAGCAGCTACACTGAAAAGCTGTGCAGCAAAAAAACTTTCGAACAGAGAAGACATTATTTCGAGGACAACATCTAAAAAGCCATCCATCCGATCGAGAAATGATAAAAAAAGTAGGAGACATTCTCGACTCTCCCAAGCAGCTCGAGGGAGGCCATGTCATACCAAACAACATACAAAGGAATGCGCTGTCCTGATCACCACAGTACATGATGACAGGCATCCCAAGAAATTAGGCCGACCGCCCGGTGGTAAGCCAGTTCCTGAAGTCAGCCTAGGCAGGCATCATCATCAACCAGGTAGACCCAGCCAGGAGGACGGAGAACGGAGGACGGAACCACGAGCAAGTCGCCATGAACCGCACGGTTCAATGGCGAAGTTTCGACCATGCCCGAGAATCGCCGATGGTCGAAATTTATGGCGCCGGTATCTTCCGAGATGGAGGTCAGAGAGAGATAAGCGCACGTAACTCACGAGAGAGCCGATGGGTGCCATGTCAGCCGGACGCATGCAGCCTACATGGACATCGGACGGCTGAGAGGGCGTCCTAATCATCAGATACTCGAATGCTTCCAGGCCTCTACTTTCCGTGTGACGGGGTGGGATGCACGGGCCGGTATATCCAGATCCGGCGTCAGCATATGCTTCGCTCCGAGGGCAGTCAGTAGTACGACTCGAAGGGCTCGACGTCAAAGCAGTCGGTTCGGCATAATCGCATGGAGTGGTTTGGAACTTCGCATGTCTGAAGGAATGTTTCTTCATCAATACTTGCTCGGTGCCATCCCGGTTCCATCCCAGCAGCTGCTGCGAAATTTCCCTGAGGCCTGCCTGCCTGCGATCTGTGGGCATGCGTGTGCAGGGCATGAAAATCGGAAAGGTTTGATTGAAGAAGACGCGACAAATCTCGCGATTTGTGTCGACGTCGAGTCTGGCCCGTGCTCTTGTAATAATTATTATATGGATGTTTCGACCTCTGTCTGAGTGAACACCAGTCCAGATTCTACTCGGTCGGGGAAGAAGGACGACTTTCCAGACGGGCGCTTGAAAGTTGGCCGAATTAGATAGTTTGGAGGTTACCCCCATTTCCATGTCCCGGAGCAGCAGACAGAGACTTGAGCCGAACGTCTTCTCCGTGTACTCGGGCGGGACAAAGATGTTGCTTCTCTTTGGCCTTGTGCTCGACACGTCCACCTCGAAGAGTGCAGAAGTCTGACAAGCTGGAGACGAGGCATTGGCCCTCGGAGGCTTGGGCATTGACCTCTTCGGAGTCCAGATTGGAAAGGACTCTGGTTTTCAAAGGCCAGCCAGGTATGTAATCTGAGCTTTTGGCGACAGACAATTGGAACCAATGAAGCTACAACAGGTACAGGAGAGGAATTGGTACAAATTTTTGTCTGAACGGTGGCGGTAGATCAGAGGCACACCCTGTGTTTGAAGGAATATTCATGCATGAAGATTCTCTAATATTTATTTTCGAATGACATTCTTAATGGATTCCGGTCGAGCGGTCAATGTATGGGGGCAAACTTTGCAACAAGAGCTATATCTTTGCAACAATACGAAAACGTAAATATCGGTGTGACTGAGGTGGTGAATCGGAAGTGAAAGACGACGTGAGCTCGTGGCATGGACAAACAAACACCATCTTGAACTTAGTGGTGCTGGAACCGTAGGAAAACTGCTTGACTGCTTGACTGCTTACAATGGTAAACCAATGTCATTGCTTCAAACCATGACATTGTCCTCTGTGTCTTAGAAAGAAAGGATATTGCTATGACAAAGAATATTATC